CTCTCGATCCTTTCACGGCTCTCTGCCGTGACAGGGGAGGGGCTGGATTCCCCCTCCCCGCTCCGATCCTTCAGCGCTGACTGGCTGAACCGACGGGGGAGGGGGCGGGTACAGCTCTAGATAGGAGGAGCCAGCTGTCACTCACGCAGCTGGGCGGATCCAGACATAATTGTCGGGATCCGCTCCGGCTGCGGCGGTCTCGGTATACCGCGAGCTGTAGCTCCCTATATACTGAGCCTAGGGTGACGGGAGGACGCTAGTTTGTGTCCCTGAGGAGAACTATGGGGGAAAGCCCCGCCCCCGTAGTTCTCCTTTAAGAATGTTCACACAAGGAATTATTTAAAGATTCACTTCAACTATCCAATCCTGTGAAAAGACAATCCCTGGTTACATATCTAATCTGCACATGATTGGATCATTGGAAGGAACAATTAGCTGTGTGAACAGTCTCGGGGCTCTCAGTGAATCATTGTAGTTACTCAGTGACACTTACAGACCATCTGCAGGTGTCATTATACACTGGGGCGGCTCTCGATTTTCGACCCTACAAAGCCGTTCCTGGCTGTCACTGTGACTGCCGGCGGTGGCGGGGGAGGGAGCGGCACTCGTGGGGGAAAGGAGCAGGACGTAAGAGATGCGTCCTAAAAGCGAAAGACGTACCTCTTGCATTTATAATCCTCCTGTAGGTACGTGACCTGTTAGCATTGCTCTGAACTTTCCTGCCGTTTTCTTTTGGTTGACGATATAAGAAACGGAATCCTGATCATTTCCTTATCATCTCCCCCACAGGACGCTCTCATTTATGACCAGAAAAGAGACATCGCGGACCGACCCAGCAGCAGCAGCTGACCCGTGACATCACGCATCGGTATCTGTGAAATAAATCGGCTGTATTTTCCTTGAAGACGTTTAGCGTGTCACCCGACCAGCTTTTATCATTTCACTTCTGAACTGAGGCAGCTGGTCGGATGACCAGCGAAACGTTCTTCTAGAAAAATACAGCGAGTCCAGTTGCCTTGATGTGTTTTGTACAGATATACCATGTGACCCGGAGGAATGAACCTTCACAGACCTCGCACATCCGGACCGCGGACAAACATTTGTGTTTGAAAGTTTTATCTGTTCTTTATATCTGCTTTGTATTTTTATGGATTCCTCAAAATGTGAATTTAATAAATATTATTTAAAGAAAAAATACCCGTCCTGTGACTATAATACTCTTGAATGACTCCATAATAGTCCAAAGCCTTGCAGCACTGGGGGTCCCAGGTTCAAATCCCAGTCAGGACGCCATTTGTGAGGAGTTTGCATGTCCTCCCCTGTGCCTGTGTGGGCTTCCTCCGGGAAACTCCGGTTTCCTCCCACACTCCAAAGACATGCTGGAAGGTTAATCGGCTCCTGTATGTATGTGAGACAGGGACCTTAGATTGTAAGCTCCTCGGGGGCGGGGACTACATACAGGTCAGGAGCTTCATTTTATGTTCACATTAATACGCAGAAATGTGATCTCCGTGGGTGTGAACGCTCCAGGGACGCAGCAGTCCTCGCACTGTTGGTACCACATGGGCTGGTCTGAGCATTTCTGTAACTGCTGATCTTCTGGGACTTTCACGCACAACGTTCTGTAGACTTTACTCAGAATGGTACGAAAGACAAAAAAAAAACATCCGGTGAGCGGCAGTTGTGCGGAAGGAAACGTCTTATAGATAAGAGAGGTCAGAGGAGATTGGCCAGTCTGGTTGGAGCTGAAAGAAAGGATACGACAACTCCGATAACCGATAATCTTTACAAGTGCGGTGAGGAGGAAGGCATGTCAGAAAGCAGAACCACTGAGGAAAGTTACAACCCGTTTCAGAACCAGTTAAGTTTCTTCATCAGGAAAACAATGACTCCATAGTATGAAGTAGACATGTGACATGTGAAGACATGTGCACTGCCAAAAAATTCGTTTCGTTTAGTTTCGTTTTAAATTCGGATTTGTGTTATTTCGTTTTTCGGGATTCGGGTGTGAAAGTCAATTCGGATTCGGAATTCGGATTGGGACGAAATTCGGTAGCATTAGTACGAACGTTCGTTTCGTTTTAGTTTCTTATTCGTTTCGTTCGTTTGCAGCAAAGTGACATTAGAGAAGGAGAAAAATATTTTCCCCCCTCAAATGTCACGAACGAAACGAATACAAAACGAATAAGAAACGAATAAGAACAGAAAACGAAACGAACTTTCGAACGAACTACCGCTACCGGATTTCGGAAAAGGAAATTCGGATTCGTTTGCATTCGTTATGTCTGTCATTCGGAATTCGGATACATCCGAATGTCCGAATTCCCGAAAATTCGTCCGAATTTCGATTCGGAACGGAACGAATCGCACATGTCTAGTATGAAATACAGAGGCAACTTTCTTACTCAACAGCGATGGAAGTGAAACCTTCTCAGGTTCAATATGTACGTCGTACATAGAGACTCGAGGATTGTACTACCTCACTGATTGGTTCAGCCAATCATAGACTCGAGGATTGTACTACCTCACTGATTGGCTCAGCCAATCATAGACTCGAGGATTGTACTACCTCACTGATTGGCTCAGCCAATCATATAATAGGAAATGTCATCTGCATAGATTTGAATAGCAATAATAACTTACTAACTAAAAAAAAATAATGAAGTTGATTGGCTCAGCCAATCATAGACTCGAGGATTGTACTACCTCACTGATTGGCTCAGCCAATCATAGACTCGAGGATTTTACTACCTCACTGATTGGCTCAGCCAATCATAGACTCGAGGATTGTACTACCTCACTGATTGGCTCAGCCAATCATAGACTCGAGGATTGTACTACCTCACTGATTGGCTCAGCCAATCATAGACTCGAGGATTGTACTACCTCACTGATTGGCTCAGCCAATCATATAATAGGAAATGTCATCTGCATAGATTTGAATAGCAATAATAACTTACTAACTAAAAAAAAATAATGAAGTAATAAACATCAAAGAACAATATTGTGATTTACATTTTCTATTAAAACAAACACAGGAGAAGCTTCACTAATAGTGTTTCCAGGCAGGGGCGTATCTGCCGCGAGGCTCTGCATTGCCTAGGGCAGCACCAATGTTAAATACACCGCTGTTTCCAGGTAACAGAATCAATTGCACAGATTAGTATTTTTTTTTGTCTTTCTCAGTAAAACTTCCCAGAAATACATTGTATTGTATCGTCACGTCTTCATACAGATTGTGTATTTGTAGTGCTGATGCCACTTCACAATGAGAAACTCTACGGCAGGGGGGCCCATAAGGTAGATGGTGATCTATGAGGAGCTCTCAGAGCTGATGCTGGGAGATCAGGAAGGGGGGGAAGGGCGGCCCCTCGCTGTGTGAGGGACAGCCAGGAGAGAGATAGAGGAGAGACAGCCAGGAGAGAAAGATAGAGAGAGAGAGAGGAGAGACAGCCAGGAGAGAGAGAGAGAGGAGGGACAGCCAAGAGAGAGAGAGAGGAGGGACAGCCAGGAGGGTGAGTGAGGAGAGACAGCCAGGAGAGAGAGAGAGAGAGGAGGGACAGCCAGGAGAGAGAGAGAGGAGAGATAGCCAGGAGAGAGAGAGAGGAGGGACAGCCAGGAGAGAGAGAGAGAAGAGGGACATCCAGGAGAGAGAGAGAGGAGGGACATCCAGGAGAGAGAGAGGAGAGACAGCCAGGAGAGAGAGAGAGGAGGGACAGCCAGGAGAGAGAGAGAGGA